TCTAAAGACAAACTGCAAAACAAACAAATGATCAAATAAACCCCAAACCCACAAAATGTTAATGTAAAACTTGAATAGTTTCTCAGACTTTCTCCTCCCCCTCCCCAAACACTTGGTTGTAACACTTTTAAAAAGCAGACGTTAATTTATGTATTTTTGCTGCACAGCATTAGCAAAACACTTGGAAAACATGAGCAGTGCTCTTGCAGAGTTGTCATCTACATCATCAGAATAAAGCTCTTGTTCTTGACAAGAAAGATGGCAGAGTACAACAGCATACAGTATCACTAGCTAGGTCTAATAATCTTTTAAGGTTTATAGGGTACCGTCAGCATCCTCAAAGACATTAAGTTGACGACATACTTTTTTTTTTTATCTAACCGTAAAATAAGTGGGGTAAGACAGAGGCATTTGCTGACCCTTCTCTGTTGAGCAGTAGTTTCCAGAAATGAAAAAAACCCAAATCCCCATAAAACTTAATCATTTCTAAGTGCATTATTTCAACAATAACAACTGATACTAGAGGATTCTTAATTAAGCTGAGAACAAAACCTTACAAGATGCAATACCTAAAAGATAAAGTATCTCAGTTTGAACTGGGAATAAGAAACAAATGTCTAAGTAAAATAATTAACCAATTCAGCAGATTACTGAGGAACATGACAAACTCCCCCATCACTTGGAATATTCAAATTAGAAGCAGCAGTTCTATTCAGCAGGTAAATTTTAGTTTCCCACAACCAACTACAGCAGAAGTTACAGTGAAAGTTAAGGCCTCTGTTGTTAAAATAAATCATATATAATCAGAGTAGCTGATCATAATAGTCCTCTTCAGCCTCAAAAACTAAGCACAATAAGATACATTCACATCAAAATACTTATATTATTACATGGGTTAAATCACACTTCATTCACAGCAAGCTTCCAAATGCCTCTGGCTAGAAGGAAAAATGATACAAACCCAATAATTTCCCAAACAAAAGAAAGAAGTGAAAAGCTGTGTTGATAGTTTCAGATCAGTTTTTCTCACTTTTACCAAAAACTGGCCTACTGGGGTGACATGAAAGAAGGTTAGAACAAGCTGGTCTACAACAAATAAAGGGAGAGAACTGGAGGAGAAACAGACTGGGAAAAATCACACGGAAGAGAATAGCTTGCAGTCTCTTTTCACACAAAATGAACTGACCCTTACCTGAAAATCCTCTTTTATAGCTTGTAGGTTATATGCAAAGAACTTCTGATAATGTTGGAAGAGCAGAGTCAGTAGAATTGAGATGGCACTTGGGACTAATAACAGACTCTTTGACAAAGGTGCTTTATCTTAAAGACAAAAAACAAACAAAAAGCCATTTTAGAGAAAAAATATCTCACATTTAAAAAGTCACTTATTTAAACAGGTGATTGGAAAACATAATAGCAGTGGCATCACCTTGAACTTCTCTCTCAACAATTTCCCAAGTTCTCAACAACTTGCAAACAGACAGGAAAAACACACCAACCAAAGGAAGTGTTTGGAGATATTAAAGACAGTTAAACATTAATTGGACACTTCGTTTTCAACATTCTCTTATAAAATTGTTTGGCTATAATTAAACCAAAGGGCTCTGCACCTATGGAGGTCATGCCCTCCTATGCAGCCCTCCTAAGGCTCAATCATATTTCAGGAAATAAAACATTCAATTTTTTTGTCAGCAAAATAGACATGCAAATCTCATCAAAACAAAAATCTTTGTTTCCTTTGCACTAGGGATTAAAATTAGTTTTTATTCCAGAGGCTATGAAGCAGGCACCACCTGAATAAATGTCAAGAATAAATTGACTCTCTCTTCACCACACAGGAATCCACCATTCAAGGAAACATATCTAAGTCAATTTACATGACATTCATCTTCCTTCCATTCAGTCATTACAATTATTAATAAAGAAATTAATAAAATCAGGACTTCTGTGAAATCAGAACTTCCCTCCCACTAGTGGCATGACTTTCAGAAAGGAGACTCAGAAGAAAGCAAGTAGAGAACATCTGCAATACACATTTACTAAAAACCACCAAGTGGAACATCCAGCAGGGGTACACCCAGCAATTCATCCCAAACTGCTAGTGTAGTTGATGCAATAAAACACAAACTCTTGCCCAACAATTCAATGCCTGGTTGAATTTTATTTTAATGCAAGAAAACTATCCCCCTTTCAATTTAATATTTTTCTTTGTTTTTTTTTTTTTTTTTTGCTCTCTAAAAATAAGGTCTGGAGCCTTCAGATGTCCATTTTTAACATTATGCATTCCCCTGATTTAGTTGGACACTTCAAAAAAGTTAGAAGCCATCAGAATACTCTAGAATACTCAGGGCAAAAAAAGAAGCTGGAGCTGCTGTGCACACAATTCACACTCATACTCACTTGAAACCTCAGCAATGCTCCCTGAGTTAAATTAACATTTCTTAATGTGAAAAGGTCAGTATTATAACCAGGATACAACAGATATTTGAAAGTACAGCCTAAATTGGAACAATAGTAGTAGTCACAAAAGTATACATATACGTTTACATTATTTCATGAGTTTAAATAAACTTTTACAAGAACTCATTAATCCTATAATACTGTTCACATAAGGACCACACTACCACAAAAAACATGACAAGCAAATCACTAGATTTCCCACTATGACTATATATTTCTCTACTGGTTTAATATTTATATTTAGATTTAATGTAATTTTCATATCACTAGATTATTTTTACATTACAGGTAATACACATTTGAAATACTTTATCCTGTCAAGTTAATTCCTAATTTGAATGCATCCAAAAATAACCAACCAACAGAACCTCATCTGTTTTCTCCAAAAGTGTGAACACATTTTTGTTATAAGCCTACTTTTAGCTTTCAGCTTAGATACTTCAAACCTTGTTATAGAGGAAAAGTATTTCTTTTTAAGCATGTCACCAAGTGAAAAACCACAGAAGTAACTAACCCATTAATGTGACAGTCACCCACAGGTAACGCCACATGAGTAATGGAAACTTCTACTCTCAAGCTTCTCAAAATGTCATCGTGGCTGATAAGTTCATTTGTGTCCAGTAAACTTAAACACTTACGGACAAATAATGCATCTCCTGAATTTTTTTTTCAAGTGTTTCACTGTACAATGTAGTTGTTTGCTTTCCTCCTCAACAGCATATAGACTCTTATCAAGGACTGCTGTGAAGTCACTGGTGAAGGACTGACCCTCCCACTGCTGTGGTGTGTCAACCAGTAAGACCAAAAATAACTAACAATCCCAGATATGGCACAGCTGGGCATTCTGACATCCAAGTCAAATTCCTTACTTAGAACGTAAAGGTAAATTTAGAAAGCAAAATTATAGTCCATGGGATTTTCAACCATGTGCAGGATGTAAACATGTACTACCAACCTACCTGGGTAGCAGGGTCCACTGGAGGCACCAATGTAAATGTGCACAAGGAGAAGAAAACCACAGTGCCTCTATACCATAAAAGGAAAGTAGCATGAAAGGGTAAACTCTCATTTTGACCCTGAAGAGTTAAAATACAGCAAATGCTATCTTCAAAGGCCTTGTAATAAATTTGCAACCCCAAAGTACTTCTTAAGTGGCAATTTTTTCACACAACAGGAGTAACAGCATTGTTGCTGAAACACACACACCCAGCTTCCATCAAAGTGAACAGAGTAATTTTGTAACAACCAGCAAAATATGCCCATGTTGTGAGGAAGAGCAAACTAGCTTTTGCTACAGATCTTTGCTTCCCCCTGGTGCAACAGAGAAGTTCTCCCCAAAACTATACCTCATTATCTCACAGGGAAGTGTCACAACCTTTGTGCTACCACTGCACAATGTAAGGCTGATCCTAAAATGCAACATGAATGAGAAAACCACCTCTAAGTCACATTCCAACCCTGCACTCATTACAAAGCCCACAAACCCTCATCTTCCACAACCTACCACTTTTTTGGCTGCCAATACCACTTTCAAAGCACAGAGTTAAGGAATGGATGTGTCCATCTGTCACAGAGGGTGAGGTTCATGGAACAGCTGCTCGGGCCGTTGCAGCTTCAGAAGGCACCACTGCACTAATGAGAAGAATACAAATGTTGTGGCAGCAGTAACAGCTACAGTTTTTGCAACAATTTCCTGTTCCCTTCCTGTTCACCACTCACATGTGAAGAGAGATAGTAGATGAGCATGTCAAAAAAGGCAGACAGATCAAGCGACTGTTTCAGAAGACTATTTACGGGAAACAACTTCACTCCCTGCACTGCCATTCTGGGTCCAAGACTCAAGCTTTGAGTTGACTTGGGAGAGGACCACATCACTGACACCAGCTGATGAGCAGTGGCTGCAGAAGCCCAAATTAGCTCAGGACACTTTTTGTGGAGATCCTTACTGAGCTTACATCAGTGCTGCAGATGAAGCATGCTGTCTAACAGCTTTTTTTTTTTTCCAAAAAACTTTCCAAATCCAGCTGTTATGAGGCAGACACACCACTTTCATACAGACAATTAACTGCTGGGGGCTACTACAATAGCGCGGAATACGCACAAACCACCTTTTAGTGCTGATACACAAAATCTGTGAATCTTTTAAACCATAACTGATGTACACCTGAATGCACAGTACTTCCCCAATGCACCAATGGAATCTGTATTTCAGGTGAGTTTGTTATTCCTGCATTAAGCCATCATGCAGATATTAATCCACTGTATTCTAAAATCTAGCCAAGAACCTGCAACAGGTTCAGCCAAAAGTGATCTTTCAAAATGGTCAAGAGTTTTCAAGGATTCTTGCCTACTCTTTTCCCTTCAGATGCAAGTTTATTGCACATCAGACAGAAATAGCATTTACGGAATAAATACCTCCTCCTGAATGCTGGAAAACCTTACTTGCCCTTGGTTGTAATGGCTGATGAAACTCACTGCCAGATATTCAAACCTGAAGAGTAATTTTTAAGTGCTTCCTAGACACCAATTTGTGCCTTTGGGAGACTAGAGCAATCCTACTAAATCTGAAGAGTAAAAGTCTGTCTTGATTATAACCCTGCCCTGAGTCCTGAACAGCAGCCGAGAACAAATGAGAGCATGCCATGGAGGGAGGATGACAGTGATACAGACACGTGTAATACTGCCCAATAAATCTGGAAGACACCAGGAGACGGTATGCTGACTGCTAGGATGGAATCTAATCATATGATGATTTTTTAGAGTCTGTTCAATCCAGCATTTTTCTAATATTTCATCCTTTGAAAAAAAAACAAAAAACAAACCCATGCAATACCACAGGATCCTGCAAAAGCAGTGTAGTTACTGCTCCCTGAAAGTATTACATGACTGGATGAAGTATTCTGGGTCAGGAAAGCAGCTCTTGCCCCTGGGTCTAGGCAGAGGTCACAGACACAGGGGATCCTGCGTTCAGACTGTCACTTCACAGCGTACTCTGGTGGTTAATTATCATGATGCCTGCAAGTGAACACAGTAACAAGAGTATCACTGCAGGAACAGTTTTTCATCAAATGCTTATGAACTTAATGCAGAAGCTGAGAGATTAATAACATTAGTATATATACTAAAAAAGTCAATAAGGAAACTGACTGTGATCATGTTTTAAATCTATTTTTAAAAGGCATTGGTAAGACTGCAATCAAACCACTCACCTATACATTCACTGTTTAGAAAACTGCTGGGTTTAGCCTAGGTCACAAAATGTAAAAGAATGAGGAGCTACAAAAAGAAAAAAAAAAAGCAAAGAAACGTTTATTTCTAAAAGGAACATTTGAAAAGAAACAGCAAACGGAACAGGTTGAAGTTAACAAAAAAGCTCACCTCACCAAGCAGCCTCTTCTGCCTCCCAACCACAGAGCATATTGCCATACTATTATTAGTACATACTGTCAGAAATATCAGCTATGGCTACACGACAACAGCACATGGAGATCCCCACACTAGCTTGAAATGAGCTAGCTCTGCAGCAGCCGCAGCAGAATGGCCACATTTTTGTGGTGTTCAACGCATGGCTAATTGAACTGCTGTAGCTATGCTGCTCCCAGGACTCAGGCTATTATTTTGAACCGGGTTGCACTGTGGTATGCTGATGTACAAGCTAATTTGTTTTCCCATACAGTACTGTACTGCGTAATATGGTTACGCAGAGAAGTCTGATATATCCAATACACACTTCATTCTTCCTTCAGTCATACCACAAAGCATCAATTTATGTACCTTTATTATTTTCCTGATGCCCATGCACAAAACAGTTCAGTCTTGCAGGTTATGCAAGCAGAGGAGCCTAGCATTCCCTTTTTGCC